GATTGTTGTCCTCAAACGAATTTTGCCCCCACTATCTTGGTGTTTAAAGAGTGATCCGACAAAAGGTTTAAAGGATTAATCAAGCCTTATAGAGATTCAAACACTAAACACTTGTTTGAATCTCTAAAACTTAAGAACACAAAGAAAAAGATGAATATGAGAGGGTATTTTCTTTTGGATTTGATCTCAAGAAGTATCAATATAATAGGTGTTTTTTCCAACATGTTTCAATGACCCAAGATCACCTATTTATAGCCAAGTAGTATAGCTTCACGAAGTGGTGCACCTTATGGATGAAAAGCCACCAAAAAACCAACAAAAAAGACCCAACGGTCGTTTTTTCTGTACCATGCGACCGCATGGTACAAACCCATGCGGTCGCATGGTACAATCCTACCGAGACCATTTGGTCTCGGTAGGGTTCCATGCGGTCGCATGGCTTTAGGTCGCATGGCCTAAATTCTTTTCTTTTTTTTATTGTTGGTTTTGAACAATCATACCACTTCATAACACATACTAGACATGCATTTATTATAATATTCGTTTGCCGTAACTACACAGAGTGCAGGCTAATTTTTTTGAACTGGAAATTAATTGAGTGTCTCTATAGGCAGCATCACTTGATGATGGTCCTTCAGGTGCAAGTGGTCTGACCTTTATTTAGTGGCCATAAGGGTCCGGCTTTAGATAATTCAATTGAATTGTCACGCTTTATAGCAACCTGTCACAGCTGTTTGGATAGTACTCAAATAAAAGGAACAAACCATGTCTCCTTAATGGTCAAGAATTGATAGAAATAGAGAAATAAAATGTGGAAAGAAAAATAGTAGTCTTTTTTTTTTTATATCAAAATTTTTTTTTTTATATAAAAATATTGACCTTTTATCCATCTTTAATCTTACTACATCAACCCATTCCAACATACATATCTAGTTCAGAATGGTCGGATATGGCGTGGATTTAGCACCTGGCGAGCACTCGTGGCTGTACGTGCTGAATCCACCAGGAGAAATTTTTTTTGTTACCGACAAATTAGTTTTACCTTATATTGCTGGTAAGTCATTTAATTCTCAATGACCCTTGTAACTCAACTGGTTAGGGGTTGCATATTCATATTTGACCTCTAGGGTTAGAATCTCTTACTAAGGGATTTTTGTACATTATTCTTATTCTACTAGTTTTACCAAAATTTTTATAAAGATGGAGACAAGGGGGTTCGAACCTATAAACTATTGGAAAGGTAGTTGCCAACTTAACCATTGCGGTGGTTCTTGGTTTGTGTCGCACTATTTACCAAAAAATATTTATTAGATTTTAACTAGTTTAAGCCAAGCACAATTGTAAATATTAGAGTTCGCGCTCTTCCTTTGAATTATACAAAACTTGGCAACAATGTCATTTGATGAGTCCTATTTATTCTTATAACAAAAATATATATATTCAATTTGAACAAAATAATTGTTATATTTAAACTTTAGGCTTTAATCGATTTCCCTTTTTTTCAAAATACATTTTTTTTCTATTTTCTTTTCATTTACACATTTTTCAATAAAATAATATTACATGCAAATTCAATTTTTTTATTTTTATTTTTAGCCACACTTTCTCCTTCAAATAACTGTTCAAAAATGCTTTTTTTACAAAAAAAAGGGGGGGTATCAAACAGACTCTTAATATTTTATTATGACTGGCAGTAGATGGTCAACGACTGCTCGTGCTGACTCAAACTCTTGAATTCGCCCCTCATATGGTGGTATTACGAAAAAAGAAAAATAAGCTTATATTTGACATTCTTTATTTCAAAACGATTTTCTCCACATACTCATTCGTCAATTATATATTTACACAATAAAATATTCTGCATGTAAACCCAAAATTTTTCACTATTTTTTAACCACACATTTTCTGAAAATTCACTATCCAAATTTTTATTTTTGCCAATTAATAACCATCAAACAAGGGCTAAGTTCAATCTTATTCATTATAATAATTTTATATTAAGTACTACATGTTTATATAAATAGAATAACACACTATGCTTTCATAGACACAAAAATACACTTATCCACATAATCGAAAACAAAGGAAAACGAAGTAAAACAAACTCTCTTTCTTCTAATATTAATGTTTAGAGTAATATTATCTGTATATCATTGTGTCTATAAAAGTGCATATATAGATGTCATGGAAGAAAGAGAGAGATTATTGTAATTTCTTTTCTCTTCTTTTTGTCTCTTTATTTCATTTTGGACTTTTTCCCTATAATTATTCATTAATTTTTACAAGATCATTGACGAGAATTTTGACAATCATATTGAGCTCGCCCTATGTGAACATGTCACTATTAACAAATATGTCTAAGTCAAAAAAGAATTAACAAATCATGGTTCCACCTATTCCACTCTCAGCAAACATTTACGAAGCCATAAGCACACAAGACATGCAAGTGCATGATAAGTGTGTTAAACCTGTTAAGCATGACTTTACAACTAATGAGTGAAGATCTCGTCCACTATTTCGGATAGTATTTATGGTTCTACCTTTTTCTTAGCGAGTCTAGTATTCTGCCATTTCTGATCGCTTGCTTCCGATTCCCCTTCTCGACCCGATTCAATCCCTTGCATGGTGAATAAAACATAAAATTGTTACATATTTAGTCAAAACTCACTAATTAAAGGTTGCCACACGTCATTAAATAAAAATACTGAATTACACTTAGCCTCATCAAAAATGTATAAATAGTCATAGTTTGAAGCAAAATCCAGTGAGTTTAGGGAGTGGAAATTGTGATTAGATGAGAAAAAAAAAATTCATCTCAATTTTGAGGTCAACACCTATAGTCTGAATTATTCGAGTGATTTTTTTTCTAAGTATAAGGAAAACTTTCAGAATTCATATAGGATTTTGAAATGGAAAAATCCCATCCATCTGCGTTTTATGTTATTTCTCATATTTGAATGATGTTTCGACACTTGTATTTGTGAAAAAATTTCTACGCAAAAATCATGTACCTGTAGTTTTTTTCTTATTTGAGTACACTATTTAAGTTTTTATTTGAAAGTGAGTAATTTAAAAAATTCAAAATTTGTTCCGGAAATTCTCTGGAAATGGAAGTCTGATGCAAGAAACCTTTTGTAGTAAGAACAAACTATTCAAAACAATAATGAAAATTCAATCTAATGAAGAAATAATTGGAAATGCCTTACATAAATATGTTTATTAGGAATGCAACTATTTTGAATTACTTATTAAACTTATATTTCGAGTTCATATAGATATAGTAAACTCACCCCAAGCGTGGTCCCTACCTTGCACTTATTCCTTTTTAATATTTATATCGTATTTTAAAAATAAAAAAATATATAAATAAAAGAAATAGCAAATGGTAATTATGCCCACCTCTCAAAAATTCTCAATGGATAAGGGTGAGAAAAACCTATAAAACCACGAAGTGATAGAAACCGTAGTTTTGCAACCATTAAAAGAAAAAAAAGTTGAACTACAACCTTGAGGACCTCCACTGTCTCGTTCCTGGAGCATAGTGAGAGAGATAAATCGTGGAATGTGCTCAGCAGGCCAGGGAGCAAGAGCTTATCCGTACACTGGTGCCCAGAAAGAGTCTAATTCCATATCTCAGGAATCGAACTCTCATACTGCGACTGTCAGCAATGTTGAGTCTACCTCACTCCTATCTTTTGCACCACTGGATTATGCTGGGGGGGGCTCAGTTTTGCAACCATTGTTTAGGCTCAACGTGGACCTCTTATATTTTGTGTAGTTTTGATTAAAAATGATCACCCATGATAAGTGACTAGGACAAATTCGGACAATTTTTCTCCATGAGTCACATTCATAACATTTTTTCCCTATTTGGTAGGGATTAAAATAAGATTTTAGTAGATTTTGATAGAAGTAGATATAATATGTAATTGAAAAGTTATTTATCCCATAAGATATATATTTAAAATTAATTATTGACACTAACTTAAATTAAAATCAAGGGACTTAATAAGAAACCTTCTAAGAAATTCTATACATTAATCAAAATTATACGTTCATTTATCTAAAGCTAATTTGTTATCAATAAACTTGTCTTAAAGGCTCCTCCAGTGCATTTTAAACACCCGATCATTCGTCATCTCTCATTTCCACAAGCAAAGCTCCAAGTTTCACATTATTTAATGAATTGTTAATTTCTGTGAATTGATTTGAATGTCAAATGATGTGGATATCTTCAAATATACTTTTTACATTGCTATCAAATATATTTTAAAATGTTAAGAAAGTACAAATTTGAGTGTTATGTTAAAATTTTAGAATAATATATTTATGCATTAATTAGTTTGAGAGTCGTTAGAACATCTCCAAAATATTCTTTAAACACAAAATGTCATCTATTTTAAAGAGTCAATCCTCAAAATCATGTTTCAAAATACTTTTTAAATTAACATTTTAATTTATAGAGTAGGCTTGACTCTCCAAATTTGGATAGTCAAACTCCCTCTTTATAATTAAATGCATTCAAAGTTTTTCAATTTTCAATATAGGAAGATAATAAAACAATTTAGAGAAATGCTAAATAAAATAAAAGACAGAGAAAAATAATAAATATTTTTTGGAAGTAATAAAATTAAATGTTAAACATAAAAATTTTGTTGGAGTACTTCAAAATTTTAACTCTCAAAATTTATAGATGATTTCCAAACTATAGAACGTGTTCTCTTGGAGATGCTCTTACATTTTTACTAAGAAAACCGCATATTGAAACTAAGCCAAACAGCAAAAAAGAATGTTTGGTTTGGAAAGTGGAACAGTTTAATGTGGTTCGTAATTGCTCTAAATCATCATAGATGGTGTGGTATGAAAATTCGTCAAAAACCCATGTTCACCCCTACTAAAGGGGAGGTGAGGAGAGGTGCCAACCCGGTTGCCATCCCTATTCCATACACAAATTATTCAGATTGAAATGTCATACCATACCAAAATAATAAAAAATGAAGTAAAAAGAAGCACAAAAGAATACTTTTACTCTAGATGTCCGACGTTTAGGCTCAGAGAACAAGTGCAAGTTACAAAAAATACTGTTAAACGTTGGAGTTTCCCATTTCAAAAATGAAAAGAGATTCAAGAAATTCTTAGATGGTTGTAACTAAGTTTGAACTGCAACTCATCAAGAAAATCTACCTTAATTTCCCTTGAATAAAAGAATAATTGCTAATAATCTAAAACTTCAAAAGTTCAGCCGTGTCAACGGGATTAGCCTTCACCTCTCTGCTGTCATCATGTCACAATGCTGCCATCATACTAGACCTTGCAGCCTCCCTCCTCATCTCTGCAGCTTTTCCACTCCCCCTAAAGTACATGTACACTTGCTGCATATCATATAGCCATTGAGTAAAGTTCAGTTACTAACTAATATGACCACCATGAGTCGACTCATGACCAAGGTAAGTGCTACCGAACCTGCATGACCCATAAGCTAATCAAGGATTCAAGGCAGAAGAATCCGAATCCAACAAGATAGAATATCTGCAAATATGATCACGTATCAAAGTTTAGAATATTTCCAGGTATATGCTTAAAAGGCCTTGATGATAACGCAAAGCAAATCTGGAATAAAATAAAAGATGATCGTGTTTCAAATTGAAGTAATGTGTACGATCATGCTTCAAATTGAAGCGCTCCCATAATCATGTTCCTAATCAAAATGAAGTGACTGAACATTTTAACATGAATACCCTCGAAAGAGACGGTCAATGACTTTGGCAAAGTATTTTTTTAATCTGCGGTGTGACCTAATTAAAATTGAAGAATCTAAAAATAAACAATTTTCGCAGCCTGACATATTCAGCAATACCGTCTGGAAACATCATAAAGTCTTAGCAGGCTTACCCCAACCAAAGCATTTCCACTTAAAACGTCAATTGCGGGCAAGATTCCACTGTCAAATGAAGATATATAGGATGAACATCAGTATATATATATAGATTCTTCTTTTGTTTTTTTCAAGCTTAATGTGTTGGATGCAAATGAGCTCAGCCTAGCTGAGCAAATTGTTTGCTATTATCAGGCTCAAGATAAATTGACAGGAACGTGGTGAGCTTCAAAAGCATAAGAATTGGATCATTTTGTTTCAACCCCTATTAATCAGGTATTTTTACTCATAGATTCTCTCTTTCTGCCATGTTGGAGGTGCTTCTGTGTTTTTTGGAGGAAGTTAATATCTGGTTACAAAACATCACTACACTCGAAGCGGGCTGCTTTTAAACGAAACAAGACGGCAAAAACTTACGTCAAAGATTTCCCTTTAAAAATGATTGGAGGAGCAACACTAGCGAAGATGCAAAAGCCAAGATGAAACTGAATGAAGTAAGCAAAAGCACAAAAGGGAGGATGTCAAAACCCATACAAGGATGAAAAAATCATCGTTAGAAGTTTTAATTATGTACTTACCAGGTAACACAAGAAGAACCATCCAAACTTCAAAGCACTATCAGTCCTGGAAATAGAATTACAATAATTAGCGGTGAATGATTTTTAAGTGAATAAACATTATGAATACACATCAACAGATCTAAGAATAAATATAACAAAACTACCAAGCAAACTTCAGTTAACTCTTTTCTTAGCCAAAGAAAAAATAAAGGGACATGAAAAACTTCAACAAAAATTTATAATTTGTAAAAAAGAACATATACTACGTCATAATATCATGTGATTCTTAGAACATTTAATGTGAAGTACGAGACAAGAAACAATTCAAAAAAAAAATTGACAAATAGAAGTCTGTAAATTAGGAAAACATTATATGAATGTCTATTAAACACAACAAGCCACAAGTATTCTCATTATATTGTTCGTGCAAAGTTCTAACAAAAAGACCTTTCCTCCAACCCCTCCCTCCAGTCCAGAGATATCAAGATAAACATAGGTCTGGGAGGGAGGGAGGGAGGGCATATTAGTACCTCATTGCACGATAAAGAGGACGGTACCACAGAAAATAGGCTCCTGGAACACCTGTTATAAAGTAAATAATAGCAAGAAACCAGATTGTTGGACCTGCAATAGAAAGAAAGATAAAATAATATCGACAATGTTTATTAAATTTTGAAGCCTTGAGAAGGCTGCAAAATGTAATTCAACACCTACCTTCCCCTTTGATCCAAGCTAAAGAAACTGCTACAATGTTCCATAAAAGACAAACTACCAAACCTGCAAGTCAAAAGTTCCAGATTATGAAACCGAAAGTGAGCTGAACTAACTCATTATCAATCTAATACAAATTTCAAGGCTGTGCTCTCCCATTGGTCTACAAACCGGTAACCAAATTGTGATTATACAAGTTCATATGTAATATAACATTTAATGTTTTCCTACTCAGATTAACCTGAAGTCTAATTAAAGTTCTGCATCTGGAAATACAAAACCAGCATTAGAAATGGAAATTTTCATAAAAGACTGCGAATGAAGCACATGTACACGGATCCCATAACCATAATTTAGCAGCAATTATGTGTGTTTTCATGGGAAAAGCTCAGTCTGCAAATTTTAAATTGTGTTGTTCTATCCATCAGTAAAGATAACGAATAAAACAGGCTATAGTTGTAAAACAGGTCTGGCCAGACCATGCTGCCCGGACAAATGCCTGCGTGGTTTGCAATTTCTAGTAGACTATGGCAGTTTCTATCTGAGAAATATGAGGTCAACAGATGTTTTTTCCTTTTAGTTAATTTTCCGAAGAAAAAGCTGAGAAAACAGAAAAAATAAAAGTAAAAGGGCCCGAGTTGAGTAGTCTGTGGACCTGGAGAGCCAGGCCAGGTGCAGCTCATCTCTTAAACCCCCCCCCCCCCCCCCCCCCCCCCCCCCGACCCCCCCCCACCCCCCCC